GGAAACGCGGCGCCTCCGGTGTCTGGGGAGTCTGGTGGGAGAATGGAGCAGCTGCGGCTCCGGTCGTGCCAGTGCAGGGGCCGAGGAGAGGGCTCCTCGCGTGGGATGAGGAGGCCGTAGAGCTGGGTAGGCCCTCTCGGGTGTCCCCTGCCACGGGGAGGGACCTCCTGTGATTTCCCGGTGTTTGATTTCATATGCTTGGAGACCAACCTGACAGCTGTTCCGAAACTGTTTATTCCCCCTGAAATGTTTATTTTACCAAGCTTATGAGCATTGTGTTTTGGAATATGGGAACTACAGTAGCTGTTTGAAATGGGACTTGAATTACCTCAAACCCTGCATTCCAGAGTAGCAAAGTCAGTTTTTGAAGGTAACCCGTGCTCTCTCGTTACACCTGAATGCCATGTGTTCTTTAGGTCGTGGCCTGCGAGAGAGCAGCAGCCATCCTTTGTTTCCAGGCTTCTTCAAACGTTCTGCAGTTAAGCTGCAGTCGAGCTTCATCTTCTGTAGGCCACTAAATCTTTTATTCATGTTTTTACAGTGCACCAGATTCTGCAGAAGAGCCTCATGGTGCTCCTTCTGCAGAATAGTCTGTAACAGCATAGTCAGCTCGCAGTCTGGTAAAACAGTTCACCGAGAGTGCTCCTGGAGGGTCCTCACAACAGGGCCAGATGAATTGTTTTGGCTTCATCATCCTGATGCCATCTTTCCCTGGAGCATAGTGGCTCTTCCCCAGCTTCAGTGGCACCACTGCATGTGCATTGCATGGCATAGCCATACATCCATCTGTTCTCCAGGAAATAAGGTTGCTGGGACCAGACTGCATGAATTGACCTTGGTAGCCAATAGTTTATTTTGTGTCTGCCCTTGAGTTTTTGTCAGGAAGAAGGCTATGTGGGATAGACTTCATGGGCAGGCAGTCCAATCTCGAGCAGTCCTTTCTCCAAGGAACAACTAGGAAAGTGCTTGTGTGCAGGTGTCTATACAGATGTACAAAGTTACCTGTACTAGATACCGACATGGGGGCTGTCTTATACCTGGAGTGTGTATAAGGCTTGTATGCAACTTACGTAGTAAGCCTTGTACATATGGATGGTAGAGACAGTGCTTCCTCACACAGGATGTCAGTGGCTCTGTAATGGAAGAGTCACGGGCTCCGACCTTCCCTTGACATTAAAACAGGCTGGTTGGTCTGCATTGCCTTTCTGGCTGTTTCTCCATTGCAGTACTACATGTAGGGAGAGGTTTCTGCATCCTGTAGTAAAGACAAAACTGAGCCTTGTTTTCCTACCTCCTGGGTGTGTTCAGCCATTAGGTTAGTGTATGAGAAATGTGCAGTACCTCCATATCTTTTACAGATGTCTTAGAAGCAAGCATCTGCATCTGTATTTGAGAGCCTCTGCACACAGCCTGAAGCTGCCTTAGAGATATTTTAAGTACCTGTATGCTATGGGAAGAAAAATACGTAGGTGTGCAATAGTTAACCTCAGGCAAGTATGAGCTCACTCTACCTGCAGCCAGGGTGATAACTCAGGCATGGTGCTGCACTAGTGTCTCTGTTGGCCAGCATCTAGCCACAGCATGGGCAGAAAACTCATGTTTGCTTGCAGTCGAATATCCAAATCTAGCTCCCTTCCCTCCCTTTCTTTGACATCCTTGTGCCTGTGCTGGATTCAGATTAACTAGGTACTGTCAAGTACTAGGACACATGTTGCTTTAAGGCTGCCTTAAAACTTGAAGTTTTTCTGGAATTTGGCAGTACCTGAAGAGATATTTCCAACGTAGTGATACTGGACTGACATGCCTGTGCTTTGCCTTAGATCTGCCCTCTGCCTCCGAAGCTCGAGAAGTTCATGTGCCTTTGAAGTGATCTCATATAAGAAAAGCAACAGTTATTTCATATGTATTTCTCATTGCTGTGGTTAAAATCCATCAGAGTAGTAGTGATGTCTTGTTTCGTATTAGTTTCAGTCTTTAAAGGTGATGTTTCATTTAAGTGGAATTTTGGGAGGTGAAGAAAATTATTAGGGTCAAATTTCTGACTTGTCATATGTTCAGGGAACATCAAGGGACTGCTGTTTTCAGAAAGAACATGTGCAGTACTGCTGAAATATTTACATAGCAGAGAACATATTAAAACACCACTAGCAATTTGTATTTGTTTACTGTAAGAGCCACTTCACTTCTGGGCTTGTCTCTTTGAAAACTGTGCAATGCAGATGGTAATAGAAACAGTGTGAGAAGGGACTGCAGTTCGGCAAGCCTGGTTGTCAGTACTTGTGAGCAGTACCAGTTTGTGAGGGCACCTATTCCTGCTCCCACCTGAGTGTCACAGAATCACAGAAGAGTTGAGGTTGGAAGGGATCTCTGGAGGTCATCTGGTCCAAGCCCTTGCTCAAGCAGGGCCACCTACAGCTGGTTGCACAGGACTGTGTCCAGATGGCTCTTGAATATCTCCAAGAACGGCAACTCCACAGCCTCACTGGGCAACCTGTGCCAGTACTCAGTTGCCCTCAAGTAAAAAAGTGTTTTGTGATGTTCAGAGGGAACCTCCTGTGTTTCAGTTTGTGCCCATTGCCTCTAGTCCTGTCACTGGGCACCACTAGAAAGAGCCTGGCTCTGTCCATCTTCTTTGCACCGTTCCTTCAGGTATTTGTGCACGTAAATAGACAGGTGTTGCAGAGCCCTGGCCTGGGGCTTCAAGCATGACTGGTTTGGAGGCAGTGCTAGCTCATGTCTCACTGGGTTCTGTGCTTTGCTGCAGGCTAGCACTGAGCATCCCGCGGAAGGTACGCGAAGAGGTGAGCAGAGTTGCACATCTAGTGGAGAGAAAGGGGGAACATTCTTTATGGCATGTTTGGGTAACCAGTAAATGCTCTGATGCCCAAGAGTAATACATACAGTGCCGTAAGTATGTGGCAATCAGCCCTTCCACAGCACTGACTCAGCAGATTGAACATCAAGATCCTGGCATTGCAAGACTTGGGTTTTCATTTTCAGATTATTCCTCTCCTGTTACGCACTCTCTTCCGTAGATCTGAATGCAGCTTTTAAAACAGCTGAGTTTCTTGCTCTCGGTGTTTAGAAGATAGTTTTAGCAATTTACTGTGCTGTTAGTTAGATGTGTTCCAAATTCCAGTTCCATTCACATAGAAAACAAAAAAATAATCTAAATTTAGCTGCTGCCTGAAACTTGCCTCTCCTAACCAGATATTAGGAAGTTCTGAATGTTTATGATATATTACCAGATAAACAGTTTTTAAAATTGTTGTTCCTGAGGCTTTTGAAACCATTAATCAAGGGAAAATTTCTTACATCATGTCAAGTAAATCTTAATCCATTGTATTTATCTGAATAAATAAATGTTTAGTTGGCATGTGCATAGGTTTAATTTTAAAAAAGCAAATAAAAGCATTGCAGTGTTGGAACATCAAGTCTTTAAATGTGACAGTAAGGTTAAAACCCATCATTTCAGTTTTCATCTGTATCAGTTAAAATCTATGAAAGAAAATTACATCCTTGCAATGGTAATAATGCTTGAAATACTAAACTTCTACATGTTAAATAATATTCTGTAAGGATTTACAGTTATTGTAGGTTACGGTTGGACCATTTTGGTCAAGTGCAGAACAGCCTTTGTGTTTTAAAACAAATTCTCTTGCTGTTAAGTATTCTAACTGAACAAAAGGGCAAATTTTAGAAATATTTGAAGGAAGCAGTTGTAGTGGTTTTGTGAAGAGAGTCGATGACTTTAATTCCCATCAGAAAGTTCTTGTGTGCATTGCGCTAAAGACCTTAAAAACACAAAGTGTTGCACAAGTATTAAAAAGACCGGAACTTGGTGAGATTTCTGTGTTGGGGGGAGGTGTTTCAGAGTTAATTGTTCTATCATCTCTAACACTGTTTTTTATTAATATTTATATATTTTTCTAGAATATGCTTTCAAGGCCATAAACCAAGGCGGACTTACGTCTGTAGCTGTTCGCGGGAAAGATTCTGCAGTAATTGTAACACAGAAGAAAGTACCTGTAAGTAGTCCGGTTTTGAGTGGGGGACTGGAAGGAGATGAGGAAAAAGGTGGGAGTGAGACTCTGCAACATTGATATTGCATTTATTAGTATTGATGTGTATTGCTGTTTGAATTGAATACCTTATTACCGTTCTGCTTATTACAAGTTCTAGCTCCATTTAGTGCTCTGGTAGATTTCCTCACCAAGTACTGTAATGTTGGTTTTCTCTGTAGTTGTCAAAGGGATAAAGCTAAAATATGAAGTTGGTCCTGCTGTACTTCAGCATGCATACCTTAACTCTGGCTTGTCAGAGCTGAGTTGTCCGTAATCAGTTTCCTGGTTTATTTAATTCCTATTCAGAAAATGTTACACCAAGAGCACGCAGAACAGATTTTCGGCAGTGTTTCAGCACAGTTGTGGTGTATTGTTGACATAGGGGGAAAACCCTTATGTTTGAAGGGCAGCATGCAATAAGAGCACAAGTTTTCACATGTGTGTTCTCAAAGTTTCTTCAGATGGAAAAGGACTTTGATGTTGGTCATTATCTAGCTGTCAGCCTTTTCCAGATACTGGTTTTTATCTTTCCTACTCTACTGTTTCTTCCTTCATATGCCTATAGCAGTAAATAGTGGAGAGCCTGAAAGACAATTTTTAGCTGTTAATTGATTCTTTTGGGCTCTTCTGTAGATACCAGAGCATCCAGAGTCTGGCACTGTCCTGCTCAAAGGACAGTGTTTTCTATTAGATTACTTCTGTTTCTTCCTTAGGACAAGTTACTGGATTCCAACACAGTGACTCATTTATTCAGAATTACTGAAAATATTGGCTGTGTGATGACAGGAATGACAGGTATTTAATTCACCATATTTTTTAAGTATCTGAAGTGTGTTAGATTTTTTTATGTAATTTGACAACTTTGCATCACATAAATAAATTGTCTAGGAGATTTGTTCCACCTTGTCTAGTTCTGATGTGTATATTTAAAGATAACTTAAAGTTGGGCCTGGAATTTGCATTCTCAAGCAATGCTAGGAATAAACGTGGTACATGTTCAGTGAAACTAAAATGAGTTCTTTCTGTCTAGCTGACAGCAGATCCCAGGTGCAGAGAGCCCGCTATGAGGCTGCTAACTGGAAGTACAAGTATGGCTATGACATCCCTGTGGATATGCTGTGTAAAAGGATTGCAGACATTTCTCAGGTCTATACGCAAAACGCTGAAATGAGGCCTCTTGGTTGCTGTAAGTATAGTGGATTAAATTAATCTTTTCTGTTTCTTGTCTAAGCTTGCAACTTGAAGTGTAAGAAATTCTCACCCGTTTTCAAATAGTGCAAGATGTTGATGTAACTGAAGGAGTGAGACAGATGAACAGCCAACTGAGAGTGCAGTGCTAGAAGTCTTGAATTGGAGCCATGATTTTACCATTGACTCACCATTTGAGCTGGAGTAAATGATTTAGCTTCTTTGAAATGTGTGATACTATTTAACCTTAGTTTTTGGGGCCTAGTCTGTTTGCACTGCACAGTGATGTCTGGGAATGTTTTATACTCTTTTTACTGGTGTGTGTGTGTGTGTCTGGGTATATATCACTGTTAGAACAGACATGGGGAGTGCATGTATACTTGTGCAGATTTTGTGGCTTTTTTATCTGAGTAGCATGTATAGGACAAAAATCCACATAATTTTTGCTCTCACTTAACCATGATATATATATATAATGTAGAGAAGAAACGTTTAAAAATATTTCACTTGCAAACATTTCTACACCATTCTTGTTTTATAACACGTGCAGCTTAAATGAAAAAAAGATGTGTGCAAAGTTCTTTTTTGTAGATATTCCTGGTCATCTGTGTGTTCTGAGGTTGGTTCTGACTTGTTTTTTCTCTTACATTCGGCTGTGAGCAAATCATAACGTCACTGTTAGGCTGTCCGGGAACTGAGAAAGACAATGTTTCCTCAATTATTTTTTCATTAAACATTCTTTCTGCGTGAATTTTGGTTTGCTTGGTTTGGTTGGTTGGTTTGGTTTTTTTTCCTTTAAGAATAGTTTCAGAATTGATGAATCACTTCTCGTAATCATAGTAGACACTAGCAGTTCTCACTAAAGAAGTAACATTCAGAGTTGCACCACAGTTTCCATGATGGGGCAATTTTCCTGTGCTTGTATGGTTGTGATGTTTGGGAATTGTTTCTTTCTTCCCTTGGCATTGCCCATGCCTTGATACTACTGGAAAGTGATTTTTTTTTCTTTAAATACATTAATAAAATTGTATTTTTCTTAACTTTCCTTAACATTTTTTTGGAAAGATGATGGGAATTTTTTTTTCTGTTATAGTAGTAGCTGCTTAGAAGCTTATCAGCTATTACTAGTTAGAAGTTACACAAGTGTAAAGCAAAAATCATTTAAAACCTTGACCTTGTTCTGCTTTAAGGTTTTTTTTGCAAGTATTGCTTTCAAGTTATTTTTAATATGTATATTGAGACTATACAACTGTAAATGTAGAAGTGTGGGTGAACACTGATGCATTTCAGTGATGTGACCAGTTTGTGTTACTTGAAGTCTGTCCAACTTGAAAGCATTTAATCAAATAGTCTTCAAAGACTCTGTTTTATGTTCTGATATTTCCACATTTCATTTCAGATTTTTTTTACTTTAAAGAAAAGAGAAAAAGGGATGTAATGCAGTGCTTTTCAGGATTATAGTTGAGAAATCTAAAGTTGATCTTCTAATATTTCCATTAATTTCAACATATTTGTAAAGTTGCCTTCTGGTAAAAGGCACATGTTAATAGAACTCTTGTTTACACTTGTAAAGTGTTAAAACTATACACAGGAAGTGAACTGTGGCTAGGTTACCTTTGTATCAGCATTAAACTTTTGTATTTCCTGACTTAGTAGTTCTCTGCACACTGAGCATTGCAAAAATGTTTCTACATTTAATGACTAGCCTTCTTTGGGAATGATGGAAACCTAGTTTGCACTAAACTGAGTTGCACACTGGCAATGAGATGGTGGTAGGAAATGACAAATTAGAGATAGAGGGAAAATCACAGCTCTAGGTATTGGACTCATTCCCAAAAATGTACTACTGTGCATGCATGTGTTTCATGAGAGAGGTGTATCTATTCTACTCTTCAGTTGAATGAAATTGCTAAAATTGAGGAAAGAAATAAATTAACAATTTTATCTTCAAGGTATGATTTTGATTGGTATTGATGAAGAACATGGCCCTCAGGTATACAAGTGTGATCCGGCAGGTTACTATTGTGGATTCAAGGCCACAGCTGCAGGAGTTAAACAGACAGAGTCAACCAGTTTTCTTGAAAAGAAAGTAAAGAAGAAATTTGATTGGACATACGAACAAACAGTAGAGGTAGGTCAGCGGAAGGAAATAAAGATTTGTTAAGTATTTTTAATGAACATGCTCTATGTAGGCTTGTGATATAGAGCAATGCAGTTAGGCATTTCCTGTTTTCTTAAAGTTCTGTATTGTTGCCAGAGCAAGTACAGCTATTCCAACGAGAAAACCTTTTGAAGGTCTTTTGCAAGTGTTTAAATAGTCATCTATCTAATCTGCTTTTTCTGCTTTATGTTAGCTGAAGCAGAATCTGTAATTGTAGCACTCCCACTGTAGCTGGTGGTTGGTTACTACAATGCTTGATTCTAGGGATACCAGTACAATTTTCCTTTAGTGGCACTTAAAACAATCTTCACGTTAGAAAGTATTTCAAACAGGACGGGGTACTGTTTGTCTGTCATGTTAGTAAATATAGCACCAGTTGTTACACCTACTGTGAAAACTGTTGTTCAAGGCCCTCTATAAAAATGTATCCTACTTATTTTATAATTTATTTTATAATCATCCTTACTTTTTCACTTACACAGGAGAAACAGGTGGGCCATCTGTCTAAACAGTCCTCTTCCGTGGCCCTCCTGTTTCTCCTGCCAGGCATTGTTCTTCTCTCATAATGTGTTTCCTGCATCACAAGATCAGCAGTTGAAATGAGGAGTAATAACCTAAGCAACTGACTCCCCTGTAAGATTAGAGAGTATTGTATTAAGATCCCTATGTGCAGATGCTATGTGGATTTAGACCTTCAGATAAATTACTTATGAGGTCTACATCGGTGTGAAAATACCATTTAAACAGAAAGTTCTTCAGCATAAACTCAAGTTTTATATGTGTATCTTAATAAGTACTAATTTCCTTGGTAAGTGAAGATCCTGAGAGGATTAAATAGCATACTAAAATTGAGTGTATTTGAAATTCCCTCCGTGATCCTTTTTTATCCTGGCTAAATTTTTTCCACATCACATGTATTTTTCGCTGTTTGATTATACTGTGCCTGTCTCTTAGTTGAGCACTTGGACATAGCTGAAACAGTCTTTTCATATTCTTGTTTTTAACTCATAAAACTTCGAAGGTGTGGTGCAAATACTTGATTGGTAATTAATCTGCCAGTCAAATCGTGGATGCACTTCTATACCTTTTTGTTGTCTTTGTCAAAATGCTGAGATTATGAATGTCGATCAGATGCTGTTAGTCTAAAAGTCAGCAGTGACAGGGAGAAGCAAGCCTGTCAAGCAAAAACAAGAATCATGTTTTTGTAATGTTTTTTGCATGCGTGTGTGCACACACACCCTTTTTTTGTGTTAGAGGCAATGCTCCAAGAATAAGAATTGTGTTTGGGTTTGGTTTGGGTTTTTTTACAACTTGGCAGTCCTCTGATAAGACATTTATATAGTCATATAGAATTATTGCAGAGTCAATGTATTATCAACATATTGAAAATGTACTTTAGAAGTCTTGTGTGGTGTTCTACACTTCCTAACACATTACTGATCAGAACTAAAAGCCAACATGTCAGAATAACTCATTTGGTAAACATCTGGCTACATAGCTGTTTTATGGAACTTCTTTTTGTGCTCAGTCATCATTTTAGGAATACATCTTTAGCACGATTATAACCCTACTGCAGGGTTAAGTATGAGTGAGGTTGCAAATAACACCTTTTAAAACAATTGATGATTAGGGTGGTAAAAAAAAAATAGGTGAAGCCATGATGAAATGCAGCTTTTAAAAACAGCTAATGTAATTTTAATTACCAGAAGAAAAGCTAAAATGTAAACTATGCAAGTGACATGTGCTTTGAGTAATCTTGGACTGCAGTGATAATGTCTGTCTTGTTTGCCACTGGTGAAACATATTCTGGTTTTGGGACCCAGAATTTTAATCTTTGCATGATAAAAGGTTTTGGTTTTGTTGTGGGTGTTTTTCTGCTACAAAAATGACATCCCTTTACTTTTTGTAGATTAAGCTTTTTAGGGAGAGGACTGGAGAGGGACTGTATTCTGTAACGAGAGGAAACTATTTGAAACTTTTCAGCTGAGGTTTTAGGGTAAAGGAAATAACTTAAAACTAGAAGGAAGGGTAGTTGTTAATGCTATGTCTATTTAAAAAAAAAAGCCTTAGTGCTTTCTGTTTAATGATAGTTTTTTTGTCATCTTTCAGACAGCAATAACATGCCTGTCTACTGTACTATCCATTGATTTCAAACCTTCAGAAATAGAAGTTGGTGTAGTTACAGTGGAAAATCCTAAATTCAGGTAAGTGATCCATGTTGATAAAACTTGGTGTGTTTCTCTGGTTGTGTGCAATTAGTTTTAACTTCTTGTGTAATGGTAAATCAAGAAAAAGAGACGAATGTCGGAAGTTGAAGTTTTGGAAGTGGTTTTTTTTTTACTTATAACTCTTCAAAATGTGTAGGGGTAAAAGACAATGTTTAAAAAAAACCCCACACTTCTAAAATGTTTTACATTATTAAGGAATCCAGTCAAGAAAAGCGTATTTTATTTCTTAAAAGAGTATTGCTTTATGTGATGTTTAAAATTTAGTTACATCTGGTCTAGATGATTTTTCATGCTTAAAAGAATAAAAATTTTTCTTTGTATTAGTATCTGGAGTCCACTACCAAATCATAGTCATGACAACTAACGCAGTAAAGTCTAATTTATATTGGGGAAAATTTTGCAAGTCCCTTAAAAAATTAATCCTTCTCTCAATAGGATCTTGAAATGACTGTTGCTCATCTTGTAATTGTAGCAGGTTTTTAACATCTCCAGTATATAGTTAATAGATAATGAATTTGCATGATTTGAAATATTCTATTTAAATTGGGCAAGATTAAAAGATCCTGGATTTAAAAATCACTGCAGTGATTTGGAAGTGGCTTAACTTTTACTTTCTAAATAGACTGCATTCCCACCTAGCATGAAAGCAAGGCAACTGGAACTTCCTCCCTCCCATGTTATTGCCTGAATCCGAGTGCAGCGCACTGTGTGCAGCAAGGTTACTTGGTCAATCTATCCAGACACCTGGAAATCTTCGTGCTGAGGGCTATACTTCACACCAGATAGTGTCCTTGACAGCCTTCTCACAACACAATGTATAGTCGCAGAAGTACGCGTGAAATGTGGGAGAATAAGTTTTGGGGCTTTTTTGTTAATTCAGAAGGACCCTCTAGGTATGTCTTAGCTAAAACTTAGTTAAGGCTGGCTTGCTGCAGAGGAGTTCAGTTATTATTGCTTTTTTTATTTATTGTCGGGGTGGGAGGAACCCTAAACCAAAAAAAGAGAGGACCAGCTAGGTGGGAAAGAAAAGTCCTCTGCTGCTTTAGTCTAGCTACCTGGTAGGTGGCGAATGGAGGGAGGCTTCAAACCTTTGGGTCCCACAGGTGCAGTCTTTTGAGTGCTTCCTGATGTGTTTAGAGTTGACATGGTGATGGTGGGTGGTCTTGCCTTTGGTGGTATGTGTATAGGACAACAGATCAGCATAGCATTTTTGAGAAGGCATGCAGGAGCTGCATTACCTCTTTTCTACTGCTGCTCCAGGGTCAAATGCTAGCCTTCTGCCAAACTTCATTTACCCATCTTATGTCCTTTTCAGAAAGGATGGATACCAAGCAGAGGGAGAAAGCTATGTAAACTTGTGTCCCCCTCAGAGTAATCATACTAATTACCATACCCATTCTTCTCACCAGGTCCCAGCTTGCAAGGATATTACTCATGAAGAATTACCTGTTCTTTTTCTAACATTTGTTACCTCTTTGCTTTCTAGTGCCTTTGATTCTTCCTTTATTTTTCAAGAAGAATTGGAATGTTGGCCTGCGGCCCTGGCAACAGGGCTTTAAAGGGCTGAAAGACTCATTGTATAAAACTTAGTTGTGCAGATATTAGGTTGTAATATTGGAGCTTAAGGGGAAGAATCATGTAGCTATTTAAAATTTCTTTTTGTTCTTTCAGGATTCTTACAGAAGCAGAGATTGATGTGCACCTTGTAGCTCTGGCAGAGAGAGACTAATTAGCATTCCCATTTCCATTGTCTGTGCTTCTGGCCAGGGTATTTGGTGAAAAGAAAACACTTATTAATGGCTTCAAATTATGAGTGGAAAACAATGTTCACATATGATGTATTTTACTCTGTACAAATAAAACAGAGGTTTTTGAAATATTTGGTGTCTCCTTTTAATGTAATTTTTTTAACTTTCAGTTCTATGAAATTCTCATCAAAATGCTTGATGACTTTGAATGTTTCTGTGGTGATGGCTTGCCTTTTAGTTGTATTTCAAGATAAATTTTATACTCTAGGCTGTGTTTTTCATCTGAGCTATTTGGCTCCTAGTATAAAGTTTTAATTGGATCATGTGCTGTGTGTGTCTTGAGATAATTCCTACATTTACATGCGTTGTCATCTTGCTCTGATGCTGAAAGGCTTATAACAAATCTGGTTTAACTGTGGGGGAATTAAGATCTCAATATTTGCCCAGGTAGGTATGAGGATATAGGACAAAAGTTGAAGGGAGGAACTTGATCTGTGATTCCCAGTGCATTCCTTTAGACTGATTTATTTGAGGTGCAGGTAGTAAATTTAACAGACACCTGCTATAACTGAGCAGCTCTGAAGCTAACATTTATTTAGGGGAACAGATTCTATATGCAGTGTACTTTGGGATTTTGGCTCTTTGTCACCTACCTGGTTTTGAGGCTTTGGGCAGTGCCAGAAACAATGTTGGGTCTGGATGGGGCCAATAGACAAAGTCCATCAACAAGAATGTCTCTGGGAAGCAATTCCCCTTGCTCCTTCAAAGGTTTTGGGTTAGGAGAAAAGGCAAGACTGCAAAAACTTGAGTCAAGGTGAAAAAAACATATTTTTGTTTTGCTGCGGTTGAAGAGGTTTCAGCCTCAGCAGCAAAAAGGGAGATGATGTTGTGAGGGAGGACACACTGAGGAGAAAGGGAGGATTATCAGGCATTTTTAGTTGTTGGGTAGTCATGGGAGTCTTTGAAGAATGCCAAGCTAATACAACTTAGCTCCTTACCTTCATTCCTCTGCCATGCTGTTTCTATATTTAATTATGCCATAATTCTCTTTGATTTTTTGAGACGTTTGGGGAAGGCCTCATAAGTCATCAGAAACTGGGATAGCTTAATTTTTTTCTTTCTGCTTTACAGTTAAAGCCCACTGAATGTGTATTTTTCAAGTTCATTGCAGTAAAGGAGATGCATTTCAGTATTTGGTGGTTTTAACAAAAGATGATGCTAATCCTGTGTGATAACTAAGTTGAGGAAATTAAAATGTGCTGTGAATTGTTGACTTTACAAAGCTTCCTGAATTTCCATTAGTGCCTCCAAATTTCACCTTCCCTTATGTCAGTGTGGTATAGATGATAAGATGAAGCCAGCCTTGGTTTTGGGTTGGTTATCTGGCAGTTCTGTGTGGTTTTATGCAACAATTGGCAGAATAAATAGTAACAGCACGTTTGGAAAGGTCTGTGTTGTTCCAAGTGACAGCTGAGTTTCTCAGACTTCCTAGGACCTTTCTTCCTCATACTCCAGTTGTTTAACAACCTGGAATTTGAGTAGAGTTAAGTAGTCGTTTACTTTGACATTAAATGTAATGCACTGATACTTTGTTCTTGATCAGTTTTCATTATGCATATAAAACTTCACTAAAGACTTCTTGAACAAATTAAGAGGAAGATGACAATCAGGGAGCTGTATGACTAGAGCACATCTGCAGAGTATTTACTATTAAAACTCCCTGCAACACCTTTAATTCTAAATTTTGGAGCTTGTATGTGATTGTGTACCTCAGGTGGTGGTTCTGAGAGCAATGGGTGTTTGTTCATACCTTTTGCTTTTGCAACACAGAACATCCCATCTTGTTTTCAAAGGTGATGTAATAAGCTTTCTACAATATATTAACTGGGAATGTTGCATTTTTTTTTAATAAGCAAAGTTAAAATTGCAGCAACTGAAATGCCATTTTTGCTAGTATTTTGTCCTGTAGTAAAAATTCATGGTTCTCTTGTCATACTAATGATGGGGATTTTTCTTTTTCAGTCAAAGCTCTTTGTTGTTTAAGATAAGGCAGCTACGCAGATGGGGATACCTGACCTAATGGGAAATCCCCATGTATTGCACATACACGTGATCACATTCCTCACACCCCGCAGCAGACAGCACCTGCAACCAAACTGTACCAGCCATGGCTGGTGTTGAACTGTACCTAGTATCACCTGCTGTTTCAAACCCAGCACCTGCAGAGAAACTAGAGTATGCATGATATGATCCTAACACTTCTGGTTTGGGTGGGGCTTATCAAGAGTGATGCCAGACTTGGGCTCACTCCATGTATTTGTGTTCTGTTGCGCCAGTGCTGAAAACTCTGGTAGATGCAGTTACAGTGTGAATGCATGAGTAGTTAAGCAGGAATAGGATCAAGTCTTATTTGCATACTAGACCCAGATGAGTGTTACCTGTACTAAACCCAGACTGGCTCTGCACAGCCTTACAACTGTGTCCATGTTACATTCCCAGTGCTCTTCATTTGTGGTGTAGAGTGTAAGGATGCAAATGCCAAGTACACACAGTCAACTTAGGTAAATCAGTATTTATCAGACTCTGTGAAAACCACCTGAATTTTTTATAAGCAAGCCCCACACCCCCCAACGGTGCCCCAGAAGCAGTAATGGCATGTGTTATAGACAGAAATAGCTTAATAGGGAATCTTAATGTAAACAGTCTGTGGGTCATCAGGAGCTGTCTGTGTATTCATCCTGGAAACAAAAGATGCTAAGGCAGGCAGTAATGAACCTCTCTAGGATTTCAGATACTTCTTAAGTGCAGTGTGTGGTACTGAGTCAACTTGTAATGCACAATGTTAGACCATATCTTTCCACTGTAAAGCCTCCAGTGACAACAGTCCAAGCACAGAGAAGGTAGATGGGGAGTTCAAGTGGAGCGAGTACGTGTATTACAGCAATATTAATTACATGGAATATGCTGCATTCTTCTCTGCATTCTCTGTCCCATTTCTCATTAAGCCAATGTCCAGGTGTACAAAATAAGAAATATTTGGGTACAGTGCATATTGTTGAAAATAAGATGAAAAACTAGATCTGTGGCTTGCTGGCATCTGAAGGGAAAAAAATCACTTTCCCTTCCCCTTTTCCCCCCCAACACAGAAGCAAAGCCTCCTATTTTGAGTTCTGCAAAACAGCAGCCTTTCTGGCTCATGAGATCAAGTTTTGTGAAGCGTATCCATGACAGTGTTCATGTTTTCTTCTAGAAAAAAACCCGACACTACCAGGGTAATAACAGTAGGGGCATTGCTTTTCATTTTGTAATCAGTAATTTTTTTATTTTTTTTTTTTAGATGGGAAGTTCTTAAATTGTCATAGCTTGTTCCAGCCAGTTCTTGCTGGTAACAATTTGTTCTGTTCTCTTGTTTTGCTGTAACCCAAACTATTTGGAAACAATGCAAGACATCCTGTAGTTCAGGATCCATTGGAACAGATAAGCTTAAACCTCTCCTGCCCAAACTAAAACAAGGATCATCACACACTTATGCAAAACTGCTTAAAATAATGTCTGGATTTTCTTTATTGTGATTCTCACACTTAAAAAAAAAAAACAGACACTTTCTCCTGTCCTTTGTACCGTGTACAGATAAACCTGCATTTCTTAAACTACTGCCCAGCCCCTCGGTTATTAGCAGTATTTGCTGTCCACCAAGCTTTTCTTAGCATAGTAATCTTTTCTCTAGTAGTAGTCTTACCTCTGTCACCATCATCTATGAAAGTTGTGTGCTACAACACACAATACAGGAGCTGTAATGTATTTGACTGTAAACCTGGTGAATAAATAGACCCAGCATATCACTAAGTAAAAATCCAGCTAACTGCATTTGGCAGAATTCCGTTGCCTACGAAGAGGTGAGCGCTTCCATTTTTTGGGTTAGTATTTTTCACCTGGTCGTTTTTAGAACCTGGCAGCCATAGCTGAGCTTCCCAGCCCTGCAGGTGTACTACGTGACCCCACTGTGCAATCTGTTGGGGCACAGCCGATACATACATCGAACCACAAGCCTCTGGAATAAAGTTTCCTAGCTAAGGCTTCAGTAGTGTAGCATGCAGTGCAGATTAGGACACAGAAGCCAGGCTGTAATTTTTTTGCCAGAAAATTATACCTGTTTGTTTTCTCTCCCAGAAAAGTGCCTCTTGTGACACCCACTGGCATAGAGTTGTGAACATAAGGTATTTAATCCTTTATGGGATTCCTTAGCAAGTTAGAGAGTCGAACTTTGTAGTTGTGGATGGAGACACACTGCCTGAGTGTGCATGGATGGGGATTGTATCACCAGGAACAGGGATGCCTTTCAGTGACATCTAATGTTGCTGTGATGTTTGCAGTTACGCTCACTCTCCTCCCTGTTTTGATTCCAGGTATGTCTGCCCTCTTCCTTCAGCCAGCACTGGTGCTCATTTACATTTGTAATGAGCCATTCTGTTTACTAAACTGATGGAAAACATTGTTTTGTTTGGTTCAGCACTCTGTTGAATTGATGACCTGAATCTGCTCTCTGTAGGATCAAATTGGCCACAGTGCTGGCTTAAAGGAGGGAAGAGGGAAACGGGGTTTCACTGCCTCTGGTTTAAACTGCTGTGGAAACCACAGGCGGCATCACCAAAGGAACAGGAGTAGCCATAGGTAATCATCCCCTTGGCTACTCTTTGACTTAAACCTACATGATGACATTTGGTCCACCAAAGTGGTATTTTCCTCTGTCAGTGGGTGACACAAGCCTTCATTTGAGCAGCATCAAGGCTACCCCTTCCAGTCTGAAGGAGGTTTCTTTGGGGACAGAGCTGTTACAGCAGCTCCTCCCCAGTTCCTCTGCTCCTGTACCCTTTGTGCAGCCCAGCAATTTCCAGGGCTACCTGGGGAAGCTGGTTTGGAAACAAGTCTATGTTTTAAAAAACATTAAATTACAAAATCCAGCCAGAGAAGTAGCATCAACTTGGTTGGGACCCTGGTTTAACCTTGATACCGGTCCTGCAATAGCAGTACCAGCATAGGGGGCACTGCAGGACAGGATCCATAAGCAGGGTCTGGTTAAACCAGTGGTGCCTCTGGTAGCAGTGGCAGTCAAAATCCTCCCTTGTAAG